AAGTATGGAAAGATGGTGAAAGTCTAGGGTAAATTTCATGAATAATAACATACAGATAAGTAGTAAATTTGCCACCTTTCAGTGAAAAGGAATAGGTTTTCTAATAGATTTTGATGTGATTAAAATTATTTCAGTATTCTTTAGCTTCACAAATTACTTGTTACAATATTTGCATCACCCTTCTTTTGTGTAGGAAGAGGGGTGCTAAATACAAAACAATCTCTACTGACATTTTACTCCATTTTATAGGGGACATTACCTTTTGCAATAGGTTCCATGATGGAAAAATTTCAACTGAATTCCCCATAACAAAATAGGTGAAATGCAACTATGTTTAGTTTGGCCAGTAGATGAAGCAGGATAAAACTGTATCATAAGACTAATGCTGACTCTTTTTTTTTTATCTGATGGTTTTCATGAATACTAAGAAATTTGTCTGTAAGGTCATTTTTACCACTCATATTGGCTAAAGTGCAATTTTTTTTTCTTTTCACCATAATCCTTTATCATAGTGATATATGACTTTTGATGTTTAACACATTTATGTGTTTAACCATTAACCATGTACCTTTTGTATAAAATTTTATCCCATTGTATCAAATTTCTTACTTATATATCCAATAGTTCATAGTTACCAGGTCAATTGTTTTTTGGCAAGTAGTGTTGTTTTATTAAGTTTTTGCTTATATGTTTATATGACAGGTAGAGTCATTTTATATAATTACTTTTATTATTTCATAGCATTAGATATAAAGAAATGACACTCACTGCATTGGTTAGTATTATAGATTGATAGGTTTTGCTTATATTGTTTATATGACAGGTAGAGTAATTTTATATAATTACTTTTATTATTCATAGCATTAGATATAAAGAAATGACACTCACTGCATTGGTTAGTATTATAGATTGATAGGCAAAATTTTGTGGAAACATGAATGGATATTAGTTGTAATCAAGTTTTATTAAGAGATTCAAGTACTCATATTGATATTTATCACAATACAGTTATTTTCTTACTTACTAACTTGGAAAGTATTATTATCTGAAATTCTGATCATATGTTATTTGTTTCTATTATGGAAATCTTCCGTACTTTGCAGATTGGGACAGCAGGATGTCCCCAAAAGCTCCTAATATACAACTGCTTGGCGAAACACTCACTCGCCATTACAGGCTCTCATGTGAACTATATAACACCTACCCCATTGGCCGGTTTACTCATCAACTTTCTCAAGGAAATTTGGAGATTAACATATCAGATACAGATGCAGACCATATAGAAGCACTATGTCACACTCTTCAAAACAAAGTTACACCCCTTCAGATCTTCATATATATTCCACCTGGGAAAGAAGGTAATATATAGAGGAAACAACTGTAGCTATCCTTTAACATATTTTGGTATTTGAGGAGTTTTTTTATGGAAAGGAAAATCATACATTCTCACCTTTTGTAGTGATATTGATGATGTTTTTTGTATTATTCTTTGTAAACATATGAGCAGAAGAGGTGCTATATAAAAAAAGTAAATTTGAATTATGGTGTGCCCAAAAATGTATATATATGCATGAACAGTTCCACACATCTAATGATGATATAATTTCCTTCAGTGGGAGTGAAGACGATTCAAAGGGTTATGAAAGGCATTGGTGCAAGTTTGTCAGTCTCCATGACAGTGTCAGTGCTCGGTATCAGCAATGTAACCCTGAGAGGCAACAACCTCAGTATACTTTGTCAGGTAAGCTCTGTTGTAAGTTATGATTATATCAATTGTGTAATAGTAAAGAGATTGATAGTCATCTTTTAAATTCAAATTTCATGATTTAGTCACTTGCTCATCAGTATCTACACATATTTCTACATTTATGTGAACCCCAAGTTAGGCAATTTATTCTAAAAGAAGTTTTTTTTGTAATATGATTTCAGGACCAGCATTGATATAAGGTCAATAAACATTCTGAGATGAAAATGGTACACAGTAAAAACCAAGTGATTATTTACCATTAAAACCCAAGTTAAACTGATGTGAAGAAGACTTATTCAACAAATGGCAATTTCAGGGCCTCTCCAAAACACGTCATCTCAAGAGCCTGAGCCTAAGAGGCTGTGAACTTGGCAACAATGGAGCTGAGCTTGTCTGCCAGAGTGTTAAGAATGTACCAAGTATCACTCATCTTGCACTGACACATTGTTCAATATCTGAAAAAGGGGCCTGTGCTGTGGCCAGTTTAATGCAAGTATGTATATGCCATACATTTATAGAATTTTAGGTATACTTCTTGTATCTTGGACTGGTATCATTTTTTCTGTCATAAGTATTTGTTTTATATTTTTATTTTATTTTATTTTTTTTTTTTCTTCTTTTCTCCTTTTTTTGAAGGTACTTTTTTCAAGGCACTTTTAGTGCCTAATAAGAACATGTGGTAAAATACCTTCACAGTATTGAAATGATCTTTCAACATCTTACAGCATCAGAGGATGAACCGAGACAGTGCCATGTGGCAAGATACCCTTAGGCTGCGACAACCTCACCTGGATGGCATGCGAGGTCTTCGGAGAGTAACCCTTAATGACAATCCCCACCTTGGAGATAATGGGTTAAGAGCCATTGCAGATGTGCTTTATGAAGATTTGTGGATCAAGGGTAAGGTTTTTAAAAATAAATATGTCTTGTGCATGTGTGTATGTGAGTGAGTGAGGGAAAAGGTGCAACAGTGAATATGTAAACATTTAAGTTAGGAGAAAGATTAAATTGGTTTGAGTATTAAGAGGCTAAGATATGACATCCTTTTAATTACAATTGTGACATACATCAAAGTGTTTAATCACTAACCATAACTAACTGTCCAGTAGATTTAAAATAATCCTATATTCATGAATTTTCTGAAGCAATTGACCTCCAACACTGTGGTCTAAGCAATGAGAGTGGGATGCTGATGAAGAAAGTTCTGAAGGCCAATCAAGTTCTGGAGATTGTAGATTTAAGAAGAAACCCTTTCATTGCCAACCACTTAGTAAATGAAGTAACTGCGTTATTGACTGACAGGCAAGATCAGTATAGTGTACAAGTGAGTGGATTTCCTGCCAGGTGACTGATTTGTAATTCACGATGCAAGTTGATTAATAAATGAAAATAGTAAATATAACTTGAGCAAAGAAATACTTACTTTGCCCAGCAATACCTAACTAATACATAAAATGAACAATATGTTGTAAAAAACACTTATGGGATACTATTACCTTTGTGTGATGGCCTCTTATTTTTCTACATTAGCAATATGTCTGGTTGGACTTGATGGACAGCCCTCATGGAGGTTGGCAAGTAAACAAAAGTCCTGAAGCAAAAGCAGGGACATATGCAGCTACTGGCAGGAATAAACTCAAGGAAACCAGAGGACTGAGTGAGGGTCAGGAGACAGTTAAAAAGAAGCCTTCTTTACCTAGACAGTTTGGGATTCCTTGGAGAATTGAACACAGATTATATGAGAGGAGGTAAGTTTACTCTCAACCTATATTGCTTATCTAGGGAAGGGCATGATAGCAAAAGGTGAACAAAGTATTACTGAGAAATAATTGTTTTTGCTTTTTAGGCTTTAACTAATATTTGTAAGTGAATTACTAATTCAATAATTATACCATAAGTAAATAATGATGACTGAACTTCTGTGACTTATTACAGTTTGATATATTTCTGCAAACTTTGACAAAGTATTATATTATTTTTTATTATTTTTTTGTTTTCCTGAATAATTAGAGAAGGCATGGTACCTGGTACATTAGCTGAGACTGTACCTGAAGCAGCAAAAGACGATGTTCCACAAGAACCTGCTCCTCCTCAGAGAGAGGCTGAAGTGAGCTCACATGACTTTCACAAAATCAGGCAAGTGCAATGCAAGTGCGAGTTATGAAGTCCTTGTCATATATATATTTTTAAATAACCTTCCTAAAATGAGATACTTGCCAGCTACTGCTCTTATTATTCATATGATAAAGTATGATGCAATGTAAATTTATCCTAAATCAATTATCACTATCAGAATCAACTTTGATTAAAAAGTTTTCCATTTTTCTCTTGTTATTCTTAAACAAAAGCTCCAATAGACCAATAGATCAGGAAGAAAACTGGTTCTCAATCAAGCAACAGGTTTCTTACTATTGCCTTACAAAATATTTAGAGGGAAAACTATCTTCATAGTGTGTCATATTTAGAAATCAGAGTAATTGCATAATTAAAAATCAGATGATCGTGCTAGGAGTGGTCTATATTTTATATTTACACAATGTATATTATCCTAGTGCCACCAGCAATAAGTTATGTTAACTGAAGTATTGTCTTGTGACATGTATGGCTCCACAAATATATATGTGTGTGTGTGTGTGTGTGTGCCACAAAGGAGGCAATTAGTAAACTATATATATATATATATATATATATATATATATATATATATATATATATATATATATATATATATATATATATATATATATATATACATATATATATATATATATATATATATATATATATATATATATATATATATATATATATATATATATATATATATATATATTCTCAGTATATGTAGAAAGTAATAAAAGTATTTTCTATTTTCAGCAAAAAGTTGGAACATTACAAGAAGCGATATCACAAGGAACATCAACTTCGTAAGCGTGCTGAGAGGAGACTCAGCCGCCTTCAAACAAAAATAAAAGAAAGTCACATTCTTGATGAAGGAACTGTTTCTCATATTGAGACATGCTTTCAAAAATTCCAAAATTTTCTTTCCCATCTTCAGGAAGTTGGGTACTGTATATATGGTCACTATTCTGATTTTGAAAAACTGAGAAAATATGGCCAGATATCTTAATATAAGGAAGTTATTTACAATACTAAACTTATGTGTCAAGTTCCAAATATTAATATTATCATTCAAGAAAACAATACAGTCTGTTCATTTTTAATAAGTCAGGATTTGTACTTCTCACCATATACCTATTCTGATTACTGTCATCTTTTCAGACTTAACAAGCAGCTCATCATACCTGAATTTGGAAAAGAAAAGAAAGAAAAGAACAAGAGGCTGGAACACATCACTCAACCTTGGCAAGACTCAGCTGATACCATTCATGATTCTGAATACAGACAAATGTCCAGATTGGTACCTGAGTTATATGAGCCTTCTAACATTCCACACCCAATAGTTGTGTTCAATGGTCCTCCTCCTGAATCTGATACTCCAAGTCAGGTGATTAACAGGCAAATAGATGGTAAAGGTGGCTCACCAGTCAATCCATCTATATCACTAGAAGTAGAAGCATCAAAGGAACCTTTAGAATATAATACATTACGTGACTGCAAAATTATGTCACATAAAACAGCTAATGAATCTGAACAAAAAACAGCTCTCTATGAATTAAGTGAGGATATTAAAATAGGGGCAGATATGCTAAGCTTACTTCCCAAAGGTCAGACATTGGAAGAAGTTGAAGCTAATTATGAATCTCAAGATACAAGTGATGAAGATGAAGATGATGATAACTGTGAACAGGATGAAGAGGACTTTTCTTCTATTCGTATAGCAACAACATATCATACAGGAGAACCAGTGTTAATGGAAAGAAGTGAAGGTACCAGTAGTAAGGATGAAGAAAGTGAAATGAATAAGGAAAAACCTAGCTTAAGAATGAGAGATGGAGGCAGTGATGTACACACTGCATATTCTTCAGAAAGTCTAGATCTCTCAAAAAGAATTCAAAATGCAGAAGATATTTACATTATGTCTTATGAAATACCAGCTGAGAAGATAGAGGCAAGGTCAGTGTCTAGTGCAGACATGCCCTGTCAGAGTGTAGTTGAAGTGCATTTACCAGAAAAAGAGAAAATTCAGAACCTGGACCAGCATGAGGCTGGAGATAGAGCTGAAGGTATAATAGAGAAGGAACAGATGGTCAAGGAAAATTCTGAATATTCACATTCTAGGAAACATGAAGTTCAGAGACCCAGAGAATCCCCTCATGAGTATGCTGGCAAGAGAGAGATACCAACAGGCTACATTAGCTATGCAGAACATGCTGAGAGCAAACCTACATACAAGACAGATGATCTAGCAAACATAGTTCAGAGTACTGAGGTCAGTGAAACAGATGATGAGAAACTACGCATGCGCCAAACCACTTTCAACTTTTCAGGAAGAAGTGGATCACTCTCCTCATCAGTGAGCATCACGGAGCAGCTTAGTCAGTCTCACAATAAATGGTCCAAAGGTAAAGGTGAAAGCAAAGGCAGAAGTCATGATTTAGAGGCTGAACCAAGCAGAGTAGACAAACTAGGAAACAAAGAGAAAAAAATTATTCCTGCTAACACTGACAGAATCCAAATCAACTTGCCTTCATCTAGTAGGTTAAAACACGAAACTGATGACATAGAATATGACAGTGATTTTGAGGTGAGTGACGTAGAAGGTGTAAGTATATCTGCCTCTTCTCTAACATCCACTTCCATACCTGATGATCTTGTAACACCTGGTGAAGAGGAATTTTAAGAGGTATGTAGTAACAGAGAATCAAAACATCAGAAACTATTATTGGATCATAATACGAAGCCTTTTATAACTTCTTTCCTAAAGCAATGGCTGTAATCTGTTTCTTGAATTATGCTTTGCTTTAGGTTATATATGACTTAGAACTTCAAAAACAAAATTGCTATGTGCTGCATTCTTGAAAGACATAATTTTTTCCTTTTTTCTTTTCTTTTCTTTTCTTTTTTTTTTCTTTTTGGAGATGCAAAGGTAAAATTGCCTTTTGCAATGTCTTTAGGTATTAAATTATAACTGTGTGTAGATGTATGTATGTACTTTTGTGTATATGTATGTTTACATTATATATATATATATATATATATATATATATATATATATATATATATATATATATATATATATATATATATATATATATATATATATATATATATATATATATATATATATATATATATATATATATATATATATATATATATATATATATATAATGACACATGCACATGCACATGCACCACCACCTTCCACACACACACAAGCACATGCACATGCACCACCATCTTCCAAACACACACACAAGCACACACACATGCACCACCACCTTCCACACACACACAAGCACCACTACCTTCCACACACACACAAGCACACACATATGTACCACCACCTTCAAACACACACATGCACCACCACTTTCCACACAAACACAAGCACACGCACATGCACCACCACCTTCCACACACACAAGCACACACACATGCACCACCACCTTCCACACACACACAAGCACACGCATATGCACGACCACCTTCAAACACACACATAAGCACACGCCCTCCCACCTACCCACACACACACATGTGATAAACACTAGTCATTGTAGTGTTGCACAAACATTATATAGAATTAGGGAAATGGATGGCCAAGGTAAAGATATTTTGCTTACACTGATTATATTAGAAATCAGTTCATTTGAATATGCTAAATATCTCTCCACCTCTGTAAGGATATAAGTTGAAAATATTCTCAGTACTATTCAAGTGGTTATACCTTGATGTAGTGGTATAATCAATTAATCAATTAATCAGTGGGGCTTATAATGCTGACTAAACACTGACACATTCACCCTGCTTTACCAACCACAAGTGTCCCTCTTGGCAAAAGCCCATCTCTACTTCTTCATGTAATTTGCTCAATTAACTTACTGGGCTGGGGTGACTGGAATGTCAAGTCATAGGATATTGTTGCCAAGTGGTGTGTGATGAAGATGTTTCTGCTTAATAGAAAAATGATATTACAGCAAAAATGCTTCAGTAGAAAAAGGGGCTAATAGCATTGCAAAGAGGAGGCAAGAAGGATTAACCCATTCCCGCCGGGCATGCCATGCCATGGCCACTGTGACATTACTTGTTAGATTGTTTTCACACATAGATGTCTACACTTGTACTAAATAACCAATGAGCCAGTTAGGAGTACCGCCTGTCTCGCCCGTTCACCCTTTTCTTTGATTTACAAAATATTTTACGGTATCTTATTTTGCTGTTACTAATGTTAAAAAACATTATAAAAATTACAATGTTTATGATAAAAATAACACCATCGATATTCATGGCACTAGTGAAAAATACGTGTTTCAAATCAGGCGCTAACAGAGCCATCTATGGGCAGACATTTAACAAAAAAGTATAGAAAATAGGCACAGCATTTTCCCCATTTTTTGTTCATTTTCCCCGGCGGCAATGGGTTAATACTGAGTGAGTGTGGGCCAGATTTACCTGCCTCACACCTGGGGAGTCACCACTCAAGTAAATCTGGATATGTAGAGTTGTATGTCCCTTCAATGTCCTCACTGCAAGGGTGAGTTGACTGAACAGGTTCTAGCAGACCCCCAAAGTTCTGGACCTTGGTCTCAGTTTATGAAACCTGTAGACAAGACTTTACCTCTCTCCATGAAGAGCTGCCAGTAGGGTCTCCAACGCCACAGATAAGTTTGAAGCATCATCAGCAAAGTCAAGGTGACCATAATATCAACCAGTGTTACTCTGCACTGACTTTGGATGATAACACTATTTATTTATTGAGTCCATGCAGTGTTGAAAAGTGCACAGTACAACCCAACTCTACTCCTGAATTCACAGGAAAGGAGCTAGACATGCCTCCCATCATACTTTACAGCATTTTTAGTACAAGTATATAGCTTTGCTATTAATCCAATAATCTCTGTCAGAATTCCTCAGAATTTCTCCAACTGATTCACAATTCACTGAGTCACATGGTTCTTAAGCACAAGGTAGACTGCAAGCAGCCTGTGGCCAGACTGGCAATATCATCCTATAGTACACAAGGATGTGGCCTATTATGGATTTGCTAGGACAGAATTTTGATTCCTCTGGTCTCAGGTACCTCTATAGATGGTCTTTAAACATCTCAGATGGAAGAGAAAGATCATCTTGCTTGGTATGCTGATGAATCTAATGCCTTGATGGTTGCTAGCCCCTTCCAGAGAAGGATGACCATTCCCCTCAGCAATACCAGTCTGCGAAATGGCAGTCAGGATACAAGCACACAATTCAGCAGGGATGCCATTGGTTTACTACCTTTCAGCTTGGAAATTGCCCTCCCCCAACTCCTCATGGTTGACTGGATCTGGCACTGGCATCACTACTCATGTGTATTCTGTTTGTGACTCAGAAACAGCTACTCAAAAAAAATAGCCCTATGCACTCACACTCCAATGTAAAGTGATATGACTTGTCCATCTACTGTTTTGAGCAAGGTGTAGTCATCTGTAGGGAAGGGTTTGAGTTCAGCTAATTTACTAAGAAATGGCTTTTACCTTCCTCTGTAAGATTCCTGATATGCTATTACACCTTAGGGCAGTCATTGAATAAACAGGGGGTTTGGAAATGGTTCCAGATAGTAGCAACAACTGGTCTATCACAGGCCTCTGTACTCTGGTAAATGCTACAATTCAGGAGGATCTCCAGTGAATGCTGACAAGGATGTGGTCAGTTTCTTTGGCTTCATTACCTACATTACCTACATTGCTGTGTCAGTACAAGCACTGACACCAGGGGCCAAAGATCCTCTGTTTTTGGGACCTTGCAAAGTCCCATAGAAGAAGACAATTGGTGTCAGCTCCTGAGTTATTGGACCACCAAATGTCTTGTAGTCAGCTCAATCACAGGTGGATACCATACCGATGTCACCCAGTACAACAACCCTGACCATTCCTTGCACATGGGATAATTTAGAAGCAAAATGAAACAGACACTATGTCACACCAAGAATATCCATTGTAACAAATGGAATCAAACTAAACTTATTTTTAAAACCTTTTTAAACCTACTGAAGGCTCAAGTCAGGTGGAGGTGGCTATGGCTACCCTCTGGAGATGGTGATTATTGCTGTGGGCCAACCAGTAACAACTGAAATTACTCACACTAATCATGCTGTTGCCAAATCTCACCAGTGAGAAGGCAGCCACCTCCACCTTCAGCTGTTTCAGTTTCCATGACAATCATCCTGATGTAGAAAGTGGATATTCCATGTCTCTATGTGGATGGCCTGTCTGAGGCTAAACCTTGAGCAGTCACCAAGGGTGGGTACCAAATCTGCCATCTTCCTGGACACTGCCCCAAGTAATAGTGAACAATAGGCTATAGGACCCAGTATACACATGTAGGGTTTCTGAATGATCACTCTTCATGCTGGGTTAGTGCCCAACAGGACTGGTTTCCCCTGCTCCCTATCCAGTGCCTGATGATTTCCCTCCATGTGGAACCCACAGAATGCCTTGCTTGCCAGGTAAGAAGGGATTTTGTTATCACCACAGCTTCTTCAGCTATTTGGTTCCCATGCCATTAGATCTCTCAGGAAAGCAGACTGCCTCCCCAAATTCCAAAGCCACCTATTGTCCCTAGGAGTATGAACAATGACGCTTATTTCAACTATAACCAAAAAAAATATGTGCTAGTCATGCCATTGTAGTTTGCTAGAGAGCTTCAGGAGTTTTAAGTAAAAAATATATATGAAATAGTGGCATTGCCATAATATCATTATTTGAAAAAGCTAAAGAAAAAATCACTAATACTGTTAGAAATACTCTAAATACAAATAATGGCTTTATTATCAATGACACATTTCTCCTTTGTTGTTATCCAGTGTTGCCTTTTTCAAAGAGAAGGAAAATATGTGCCTCTATTCACTGCCTTTTCACTACAAATGAGCAAATTTTCTAGTCAGAGAGATAGTACTTTTGGAATGAAGAGAATTCTTCTTTGTTATACATTTATATCATTGTATATTGATGTGTGTATTGCATATATATGGAATGAAATTGTAAGAGAAAGATACTAAATAAATTAAAAAAACACAATAAGTTGTTTACTTTTTTAACCTGCATAATTAAAACTTTATTAAAATCTTAACTCTATTCCCACTGGAACTGACCACTCCTCACACCAGGATACTGTCTTCATGTCAAGTGCAATCAAACCTGCTTTAAGTTGTGCACACTAAATAGTTATGCACTTGCTTGACCCTGGCTACACCTCTGAGAAGAAATAGCCCCTAGAAACTTGTGTCAAAGCCTCTTTTTACCCAAATTACCTTAAAATATTTTTGTTGCAGCAACGAGAATAGAAAATGGGGTAGTTTTATATTGCTTCTGATTTTTCCTTCGACCAGCTGACATGTACCCCAGCATGTTATTTTGTACAGCACTGGGGCTCCCATTAAAGACGGGTTAAAATAGTGTATTGAGTATAATATCATATTGAGTATCACAGGTAAGTGACAGATTTAGAAATTATCTACCAAATATTCTCTGATCAATTACAGAGATACAGTGCACAATTGACTTTATTTATTTGAAAAAATGAATATTAGGGTACCAGATAATATCCTTTACCATTGCATGATATGTAGACTTTCAGTTAATAAATTAATGGATATGTATTAAGATTTTGCTCTGTAAGAGCACATGACCTAGCAGTTAGTCATGAAATATTTTTTCTTATATAACTTTGGACAATTTTCTTTTAGCTTCTTACTCTGCTGGAATTACATTTCATTTTAGAAATTCACAAGCAGAAGCTGTGCCTACACCTCTGCCCTCCATATTATTTTCTACCACAGCTGCTTGCAAATCTTAATACATA